GAAACTGTTTCAAGTTGTGTAAGTTGCAAAAATGTTAACGATGAAAAGGATATGTCTACTTTAAAGGAGTTTTTTTAAGGCAAGCAGTGCCATCTGAAAGATAAATCAAAACTAATACCAAATTATTACTTATCGTCTTAAAAATGGTAATGTACCAATTTTCATGGTCATAATGCAAGAGAAAACGAAATATTTAAAGAAAAGCAAAAATAAAGTATTAACTTTAATCATCAGTATTTTCGTTATTATTAACAATTGGACTAACATAAATTGGATACAGACCAATTAGCCTAACTTCATTTCTCCTCAAAGGGATGGAAAAGGTAATCGATCAATACCTAAGGAATGGAGTGCTTCTCACAAATCCACTCCACCCTAGCCAACATGCTTACCAGAAAGCAAAATCAACAATTACCGGTCTCCATGCTTTGACTAGCACCTTAGAGGAGGCAATTGCAACCAAAGAGATAGCCCTTTGTGCTTTCATAGATATAGAGGGTGCGTTTGATAACACCTCATATGAATCCATAGAGAAGGCTTTAAACGTAAAAGACATACATCCGTCGACAATCAAGTGGTGTATAGCCATGTTGAAAAGTCGGCAGATCACAGCCAGTCTGGGAGGCGAGTCGCTGACTATAAAGGCGCTAAGAGGATGTCCCCAAGGGGGAGTGCTATCACCTCTATTATGGTGCCTGGTAGTTGATGACTTGATGAACACCCTAACTAAAAACGGATTTAAGATACAAGGGTATGCTGATGACCTGGTAATCACAATCCGAGGTAAATATGATTCAATCATAACTCAGCTAATGCAGAAAGCCCTACTACTCACCAGTACTTGGTGCAGAAGCAATGGGCTCAGCATCAATCCCAATAAAATCGAAATAGTCCCTTTCACTCGGAGAAGGAAGCTACAAATAAAAGCACCCTCCATTGAAAGCAGAACTATTAACCTCAAAACAGAAACTAAATACCTAGGGGTAATACTTGACAGTAAACTAAACTGGAACTCACACTTAGATAAGGTGAGGAAAAAGGCCATCATGGCAAACCAGATCTGCCGCAGGCTCCTAGGAAGGAACTGGGGTCTCAAACCACGAATGGCTCATTGGGCCTACGTAGCAATAATCAGACCCATGGTCGCCTACGCCTCATTGGTTTGGTGGCCAAAAACAAAACATAAGACAGCTCAACAACAGCTGGCACAAATCCAGCGGTTAGCATGTCTTAACATAACGGGTGCAATGAGATCCTGTCCGACGGCTGCTTTGGAAGCCCTACTCGGTCTCACACCGCTCCACATATATATACAAAAGGAGGCAGCCTTAAGTGCCTTATCACTGAAAACAGTTTCTTCACTCAAGTTGATGCAGGGTAATCTCAGAGGACACCTCGAGATCCTCAAAGACCCATGTCTAAATCACCTGATTGAAATTAAAACGGACCTTATACCGACGGAATACAATTTCAACCAACCGTATAAGGTCATATTTAGTAGCAGGGATGATTGGGCGAAAGGAGGGCCTCAACTAAAAAGAGGAGCCCTAGCCTGGTACACCGATGCTTCAAAGACAGTAAGATCTGGAGTAGGCATGGGCATCAGTGGACCAAATAGCCACATCAAATTGCCCCTCAGCTCGGACTTAACAATTTTCCAAGCAGAAGTTCTTGCTATAAACTTCTGCACCGCTTTGAACCTACAGAAGGGACAAAAAGGTGCATCCATAAACATTTTCACAGACAGTCGGGCCGCCTTAAAGGCAATTCAGGCCTACACGTGTGGCTCCGCACTGATCAGAGAGTGCACCAACAACCTGAGAGAACTCGCTAGGGGCAATGATGTTACCCTATGGTGGGTTCCAGGTCACAGCAACATTGAGGGCAATGAGAAGGCCGACAAGCTGGCCAAAGAGGCAGCAAACACGCCCTTCATTGGACCCCAACCTGGATGTGGACTACAAAAAAGCCACCTAAAACAAATAATCAACAACTGGGAGGCTTCAAAGATAGCCTTACGCTGGAAAGAACTTCCAGGTCACAGACAAGCGAAGAGTATGATAACTCCGTCGCAAAACAAAACCAAAGAGGTTTTATGCCTCAGCAAAGGGGATCTAAGAACGCTCTCAGGCTACCTAACCGGCCATGTGCCCCTAAAATACCACCTCTTCCACATTGGACAAGCTGAGGATCAAACTTGTCGACTATGCAACGACGAGTCAGAAACTGCTGAACATATACTGTGCAATTGCGTCGCCAGAGGCCGTCTAAGGCACAACGTCTTCGGTAAAACTCCCCTGTTACCTACCGACATAAAGGTTCAAGACCTCAGGACAATACTAAGGTTCATTAAGGACCTACATTTGCCCTAAACCTTTGGAGGGCTAAAGTTACAATAGATCTTATAGGTCGCGGTAACGAGAGGGCCGCCCTCCTCAGCCCGGCAGCAATAATAATAATAATAACATAAATTGGATTAAATCGTAACAATTTAATGTAAGGAATTCACTGTTCCTCTGTGTCCCAGTAGTAACGGACCAGCCTATATATAAAAATATACGTACATAGATACAATTAAATAAAATCGCAGTATATCATAAAATACTTCATCCTTGTTAATTGTATAGATATTTTTTAATTTTCACCAATTTTGAAGTAAAAAATTGACAAAAATATCTTTTTGGCCAAGATTTTTAACTATAGTATACGCCACGAGAGCTGGCAGTAAATCATCATTTTCCGCTCTTACAAATGCCATACGTAGTTCACAAACCGTTAGAGAGTAATGTGTGTTCGAAAGAGATAGCATTAGTTTAATATGTCTGCTGTACAATTCAAATGACCTCGTCGAAAAAGTACGTCTGTTCTTCCAAGGGATGTCACTCTATAATTATAACCTCAAATCGCAACGTCTTGTGAGCGTTGTCATGAATCTGTTAGTGTTTTCACAAGGCGAAAATGTTTTCTTTGAAAGGAAAATCATTAAATAATATCTTTGACAAATAACCTCCATTACTAACATAACCTACATTTAAATGTATGTGGTGAAATAATCTAAGTCGTACGTCCATATCTTGATTCATACCATTTTTAAGCGATCTGTCACTGCCAGCTCTCGTGGTTTCTACTATAATTCGCTTCTGTGCGCTGGGTAGAACAAAGCTATAGTAAACATACAATCTGTCAGAACTATTGTAAGGGTTTCTTATCGATATTGCCCATCAAACTGATAATTCACGATGCGTTTAAGTGAAAAACAACGAATTGAGATCCTTATGATGGTTGGCTTCGGAGATCCTACTCGTCAACATTAAGAAGTTGTCAATTTATTTAATGCAAGATATCCCAACCGTTCGCCAATTGCCCAATCTACTGTGTGTAAGATTGAAAAGAAATTTAGAAAGGTTAGCCACGTCAGAGATTTACCAAAAGGGCGCCCAGATAAAATTACGGAAGAAACTAGACCAAATATCCTCTTAGGAGCTGAAAAAAATTCGCATGGATTTGATGTTGGATTAGGAACCACACTTGGTGCAGGAATTACTAGGAAACGACTTTGACCGAAGTTTGACAATGTTAATTTCATTGAAAATATTATTTTTTCTCAAGGACAGTACAATCTAACAAGACATGCATTGTATTTTTGTAGCCCACTACGGGTTGGTTGCCCGCACTCTACGTCACACTATTTGCCACGCCCTGTTAACTGTCATTGAGTGCAATGATGCGTTTGCTGTGTGTTTTTTGAGATTTAGAGGTTACATGATAGACATTAATACGTCTAAAAAAATAAAACTTCAAAAATAATATGAATACGTCTACGATATAACCTCTAAAAATACACAGCAAACGCATAGAGCTGGGCGTGGCAAATGGTATGACGTAGTTTGCGGGCAGGTTGTCACAACAATGGATGTAGCAGTCCTGTTAGATTCTACTGTCCTTGGTTTTTTCTGACGAAGCGATATTCATCCTTAATGATTCTGTTAATAGGCAAAATAGGGCCGTTCAGTATTTTTTTTATTGGCTTATTCGAAAGTTTTTTAAAATTGAAATTTAATTTTTGATTCTGAGGCTTAGTTTTACCAAAAAAAAATAACAAAATTTGAAACCACAAGGTGCGAACTCCAAATTACGTAACTCAAATTTGAGCGTATAAAATCAATAAAATTCCTGAAGAGAGACAATGCTACAAATCTGATGCGCTAGAAGAAAACAGTAACTAACTACAAAACATAGAACGTCTGTGATTTCTTTCTTCTTACTTAAAACGTCATCTGGAGTCGGGGCGTGGGGAATTTTAAACTTTTACATTAATTATTGCAAAAATTAAACAATTTTCGAACGTGAAAACGTTACTAATCCGTCTAATTTAATTTAGATTATTGATTTTTTGAAAGACGGTCTTTCTAATCGATTGACCTTAACGGCCCTATTGTAGGTACAGTCATGTTCACGGGAAATGCACACTCAAGGTCAAGCGCTGTTGTGAGATCCGACATGCCGCTGGCTAAACGAGCTGAGCCGAGCGCAACGAAGCTCGCGGCGGCTCGTGGGCGTTCGGCTCAACCCGTTTAGCCAGCCGAGCCAGCGGCATGTCGGATCTCACAACAGCGCTTAACCTTGAGTGTGCATTTCCCGTGAACATGACTGTATTGGGCGACATGAAAGTTAATATGTGGGCGGGAATTGTTGGTACCCGAATTCTGGGACCTTTTTTGAAGAAGAAATTTGAAGTTACTGAAATTACTGAATAGATTATTTAATTCTCTATCAAAATTCATGAAAATATACATGATGTTGTATTTGATCTAAAAAAGTTACTATTACTTCCGCCTAAACCGGAAGTAATATTTGGTTGTACTATACATAAAAAAATCACAAATCAAAATTAACCAATTCGAACATTTTTGCCAAAGATCATCATGAACACACTGTATAAAACCATATGTTTTAATGCAATCACATTGGACTATTTTATGGAAATAAAAATAATCTAATTGTATGAATTTTTTATTTATATTTTTGTATTCAATGAAGCAACTGCAATAGCCACACACAACATCAGCTGCTACATTATTTTAAAAGTTTTTTAGGCTGACATATAAAATTAGAAACGAATATAGATTTGTATTTGTTTTTAAATCCACAAAAGCGCATTCGACGCTTACATTATGCTATCGTGTTTCACATTGCTGATAATATAGATACCACAATAACAAAAAAATAAATGCAACGTGCATGATCAAAAAGAATAAATCAAAGAAGAATGTTTCTTTGTATCTCCCGAAAATTTAAGTCATAAAAGTTAAGCTTCCTGAGCGGTTAACGCTAGAACGGTGAAATTAACATCTTCAGCATCACGAGTCATAAACTCTTTACAGATTTTGGCAGCATCCTAAATAAAAAATTATTTGAAATAAGTGAATAAGCATAGAGATACATTTACCTCCAGCAATGTCTCTGGTGATGATGGACCATGGTTAATGGGAAATTCTTTTCTACCATCTAATTCATAAAGATTCCCTTCTTTTTCAACAAAGGCAACAAAGTGGTGATTTACACTTTCGTTTGGATTTAACTACATAATATTATAATGTGTAAATTGCTTAAATAAAAAAAATTCTTACCTCAGTTTGACCTTCTTGAGCCAATTCCTGATGTACGTTCATAATTTGTCCAGCAACAGACTGTAGTAGTGTACCACGATCTTCAGGAGACATATTTTTACTGACACTTAAAAGCTCCTTAAATTTACCTTCTGCTAATTCAATTCTAATAAAAAAAATAGGTTATAAGTAATATTTATTTATGAATCTTGTTGGAATTACCTGTCACAATTATTAGCAACACTATGAACTAAAGCAATAGTTCCACAAGCGTTTGAAACAACTTGTTTTAAAAAATAGACATTTGGAGAAACATCTTGTCCAGAAACTTTAAGCCTTTCATTTTGTTCTGTGGCATAGTTGTGGTGCTATTATTTAAAGAATTATATTAGATTTAAACTATACATGAAGAAGAACTAAATTAACCTTTTCGCTATAGGGAAATAACAAAATAACAGCTAGAACTGGTTTCGGAACCCAAGCTAAAGCTTCCGATTCCAAACCATAAACATCCACTATATTCCATTTGTCCGGTACACCTAATTTCTGCATAAACTATAAGATAAAATAAATAAAAAAGAATTGATTTAATGGTTTCTTATTGATTTGGTTGTGATAATTTAAAATTTTAGTCATTCCATGAATTCATAACCTAACTTACTTTGTTCATCACCTGAAATAAAAAAAAACGGAGTAAATATTAATTATATTGTAATGGAATATAGGGGAATAGATTTTACATACATCTGGATTTGATTCTAACGGAAACCAAGCCATTTTTAATGAGAAATTTGTGTTAAATTTACAGAAGAAAATGCCAGATCACTTTTTGACAATCGCCAAACTTCTCTCAACTTATCTGTCATTTAACTTTAAATGCAACCCATAGATGGCGCTTTCAAAATCTTAATAAAAATGTTTTTTTTTAAATAAAATTATTTTTAAAAATTATTTATATTAATTTTAAACCGTTTATTTATTCGTCTACTTAATACGAATTTCTGTTTGAGTATTAAATTGTTTAATAAATAGATAAATCAAGTGGAATATTTTGAGTTGATCAAAAAAGGCGCCATTTTCAAATACAAATTTTATTTATTAAAATTAATTATTTTATATCCTGTTTTCGTATGATTTAAGCACAAATTAATTAATTTTCGTAAAAAAAAACATGACGTTTCATAAAATTGACATTTAATTTTGACAAATTGTTGTGAAGTTGGTTACAGTTGGTGACATTGAATTTGTGTCACGTTGACGTTTAAACTTTATTCAAAAATTTATTTAAAAAAATAAATTTATGGAATCAATTTCAACAGTAGTCGTGGACAAATTATAGTATTCTACTCACATATAATCAGCTATTATGCACTCAGGTAAATTATAATAAACTTCATAAACTTAACTCGTATAATAATATTCTATTTTAAGTAAGAATCATTATCATTTATGTCTATCACACACAAATTTATTTCGACAAATTTTAATTTAAATATAAATTGGTAAATTTTAATTTATATTTCAGCAAAATCTTGGAATCTTGCGTAAAATTCCTTTCTAAGATCTGATATAAAACTTAAAAACACAGCAATATCTATTTCGGAATTCTTTTTATATCATTTTCAAAAATATCCAACTTGCGCCGAAAAGCAGACACATTTTGTATTAAATCAGATATTAACATCTCATTTCCTTGTAACTCTAAATTTATAATATTACAACTAAATGTTAGGGCGTAAAATTTGATAACAAACTTATACAGTGCGTCCCCGGATAGGTGAAACGACTCTTATAAAATGTAAATTTTTTTCGATATTAACTGTCATCTTTTGGGGTTCAGGCCTACTTGATTAAAGACTAATTTTGAACATATTTTCAAATTTAAAAAAACAAGTGAGTGTTGATACTGAAGCTAAAACTTCTTGTGTGTCAGGTAAAGTACCTTTTCTGTTTACAGTATGGTAAAATGTTACTAAGAAATTTTATTCAGAATGAAAAGTTATGGCCATATGCAAATTTTCATCAGTTTGATAAAACCCATTGTTTATTATTTTCGTCAATAGTACTTTATTATGACTTTTTGTTTTGAGATTCAGATTATTCGGGAGAAATAAACAAACCGTTCTGAAAATGTTCACAAGAAATTAAGTGTGTGTTCGCCCACAAATGAAAACAGTTAATCATAGTTAATCAGTTTCATCATAATTTTTTTTCTTAGAGTGAATACTTCCTGCTGTAAGAAATCTTTTGATTAAGCGTCAACAAGTACTTCTTTTAATTCCAGTATTTGGAAATTTTTCACAAAATAAAGTAATAACTTCCTTGATCAAGATCACGGATGATATAAGACTTGCCTGTGATAACCGTCGTCTCACTATTTTGGTTCTACTTGATTTCAGCAAAGCCTTCGACTCTGTCGATTACGATCTTCTTCTTTCTATACTTTCATCTATTGGTTTTTCTTCCTCGAGTCTTTCATGGTTTCATTCATATCTTTCGCATCGCACACTGTGTGTCCGTGCCAATTCAACCTTTTCCAACCGCTTTGAGCTTTCTTGTGGTGTGCCCCAGGGCAGTGTTCTCGGTCCGTTGCTGTTTTCTATCTTCATTGATAGTGTCACCAAGGTTATTTCTTCAAATTTTCATCTTTACGCGGATGACCTGCAGATCTATACCGATACAACAGTTGATGACTTTCCTCAAGCTATTGAGCGAATTAATAATGATCTTGCGAGAGTGCTTGAGTGGTCTAAACTATACGGTTTGAAGCTCAATGCTAATAAGACCCAAGCCATAATATTTGGTACAAATCCTCTACGGAGCAGGGTGGCTACTTTTGCTAACTCGCAACTTCTACTTGGTGACACCGTCATTAAATTTTCGGATGTAATTAAGAATCTTGGAGTTATGATGGACTCTGCACTGTCTTGGCGCCCCCAGGTTCAGGCGATTTGTAAGAGGGTTTACTCTTGTTTCCACTCCCTCCGTAAATTTAAGTGTTTTCTTCCACCTTACGTTCGACGCAACCTCTGTTATTCGCTGATTTTTCCACATCTTGATTATGCGGATACGGTTTGTACTGACCTGTCGATATCTTTGTGTAATAAACTCCAGAGATTACAAAATAATTGCATACGTTTTATATTCGATCTTGGGAAATATTGTCATATTACTCCTTACCGCAATAACTTACGTTTGCTTACGTACGTAAACCGTCGGTCCTTCCGTGTGTTAACAAGTCTCTATAAGATTATTAAGACTCAGAGTCCACAGTACTTATTTAATAATTTTAAATTCTTATCATCACACGAGCGTCCCACTCGTTCGCAATCGGACTTAATTCTTCTATTCCCAATACATCATACGAATTTATACCACAGGTCATTTACGCTGTACGCCATATCCCTCTGGAATGGTCTCCCCATGGATATTAGAAACGCTCCAACCCTGTCATCTTTCAAGACTTGTCTTACACATTTCCTCTTCTCCCGTCAAATTGCGATCTTGTAATATTTTACTTCCTTTTCTTCTTTTCTACTTTCTTTCCTATGTTCCTTATTCACCTTCTTTCTTTTCTGCTTTGTTACTCTGTGCATTTCTTACACTTTTCTTCCCTCCTTTTTGTTGTTTGTTTTTTTTTTCTTTTTCGCTTTTGGTTAATAATGCGTGCGTTAATTACTTACTATTCTGTATATCTGGTGGTATCATTGTAATATAGTTTAGACTGGGTCGATTGGAAGATATCGTCTTTGGCGATAAATCGTTCCGTTTGTCAGAATTGAATTTATGATTTGTTTTCCACTGTCATTGTTATAATCATCTTTGCTTTTTTTTTTGTTACACTACCGCCGCTAATATAGGATAATTATAATAATGTACAATTTTCCTTTGTTCTTTTATGGCAATAAAGTTTGTTTATTATTATTATTAT